TACAAACTGCTTAGAAAGGAAGGGGTGTTGGAAGCACACATCACATTTGCAGTCAGAATGGTGAAGTATCACAGAAGAGGCAGTGGTTTATGATGAGTTGTCTAAAGAATTGGGACATCCTATGGGCTTTAGAATGGGCTAGGGCTGTAACCCAGTGAGTGTACAGCACCTGCCTTGCGTATGTGAGGCACTGGGTTCAATCATCAGCACCATATACAAATAAATACATAAATGAATATATTAAGAATAAAAAAGAATGGAGAAGTCATCATACCCATCAAAAGGCATGCCACTATTGTCACTGTTTTTATATAAATCTGTAACTGAGGGGTAAGGTGAAAACTGAAGTCATATTTATTAGAAGATACAGTATAGCTTGCAGCAGGTTAGTGCTGCTGAAAGTTTCTTGTCCAACCCAAATGTGGTTCCCTCAACCCTTGACTTAAAGTTTACTAAAAGACTTGTTCCTGAATCAACCGTATTCATCAAAATCGTGGAAAGATCAGAGAACTCCGAAATTGGTTTATATGGATGGAATGGACAGAGCCCTGGAATCATGACCATTTGGCTACTTGGGCTTCGAATAGGTGGCGGCTTGAAGAAGTTCCAATGACATCCCCCTACCCTCATGAATCCAGTCTTTGATGAAACCATAATATAGCCCTGGAACAAATGTTTGGAGTCCCCTGTTGTATTCTGATTTGGGGTGAGATTGTCACTCCCTTACAAGGCTTACAGAGCCTTTGCAGGATATTTAAGAGTTCCACCAGTTCGTTCAGCCCTCCCCGGACTCCATGATGGGTAGCATTTCACTATAATTCACTGCAGTGTTTCACATTTGGACTATCCAGCATCCCTCTTGCTCAGCTACAGGAAGACACATCAGAGTAGACACATACTGATGATGATGGTATTACAGAGAATGTATTTTGTAGCCAGATCAGGTATGTCCTTGAAATTCTCTGGATGGCAAAAGTACACTCTTTACATAACCATGGGGACCTCATTTGGTTAATTTCTTTGCAATGAGATCTACTAAATTCTTCAGAATTTTTGTTCTACTATCAATCGATAAAAAAAGAAAAGATCATAAATAATCACATCCAGTCTATAATGAAAAATTATCTTTGTGTGTTCAAATGACTACATATAATCTTGACAAAAAAAGATAGTGATTTGCATGCACTGTTGAAGCACTGACACCTGGTGCTTGAATCTTTTTTAAAGGTGTAGGTGATTTGCTCTACAGATGAGCAATCCTGAAAAAATATATTCTGCTAGTGAAAAATGAGATTAATCTAGAGTCATCAAAAAATTTCCACTGTAACTGTGACCGTATTCTAATATTTTAGTTAATGTTTACACATTGCTACACTGATGAAAATGAAAAAAAATAGGGAGGAAAGACAGAAACATAAAAAATAAAATCATATTTATTTAAACAAAAATATACACACAGTGTACAATGAATATGGTTTACACACAACAATAAAACAAAAATGATATTTCTACAAATGCCAACATAAAATGTTCTAATCTAGGTGTGGCTCATTTCCTATAGGCTCATTTCCTATAATACAGATTATTGGTTCACCTAAAAGTATAGATATTTAGCACAAAAAGAAAACAAATGCCAACCTTCCCGATGAGTACCACAAGAATCTGAAAATTCAGTGTTGGGTTACATAAAATAATAAAATATTCACATAAAAAGTTATTTGTACAAGAGGCTATTATGTGTGCGTTGAAGTGAGTCTATATAGTATAGACATAGGCACTTTGCCTTTTTTAAGAGTGAGAGCTCTTTAACATGACATTTTACTTAATGACAATAAAAAAAAAAACATAGTAAGAGTTATATAGAGAGCATAGCAATCTTGGGAAAATTTACCACTAATGCCTGCTAGTGATCAATACCATGCTAAGTCATCATTAAAGATAGGCTGTTGGGTCATGCCCTGTTATGAACAGGGAAAAAATTTGATGATTTTAGGAATATTGTGAATGTTATCGTAAAATGAGTGTAAAAGAGCAACACCTTCATCCTGAACTGTATTTACTAAAAGATGTATTTTATAAGCATTTGCCCTACCTACGTATGGTTTATCAGGCAATGCCATTTGTATTCGGTCTTTTTTCTTTAATATTCACTCTCTCTGGTACTAGGTTTAATTGTGATCTTGTTTTTCTTTTTTCAATTCAAAATTCTTAGTATGCATGCTTGAATAAGAATTCAAGCTCAGGAAACCTGATTGCACGTACCTTTTGGGGGTTAACATTACCCTACATTTTTTTTCCCTCTACCTTTGTTACAAATTGCTAGTTATGGTTTGTTTCTTCTAAACAAGAAATGTTTTAGAGTCTGCTTTATTTACTTAGAAATAAAATTCAAAGAGTGATAAATGTGCACCATGTCTCAGAAAGAAAAAAAAATGCAATTTTGTATTCCTTAACTCCATGCTTGGACTGCCATATTTTATCTAAAACATTGATTTGATTTTCTTATTTTTAAAGGCAGTTTTTGCTATGGGTAGCATCACTTTGGATGCAAAGTTCTAACTTCAAACTGCCAAAGAAATAAAAGATGTCATATATTTGGTGTTTACAAAGCTAAGAAATTTAAATATGGGGGGAAAATACATAGCTTACACAGATTGCAGCTGGGTGAAATGAATGTGAATTTATGCGAAAATCATCAATCAACTACACAAATTCCTAGCAAATTATTCTTAGTGCATAATTTGTAAAGCTTCCAGCTATTAGAGATGCTTTGTGTTCAATATGTTTGCTTCCCTTGATAACTGCTCACAATTCTTCTCAGACCAGTTTCTTAAATCTGTGATAAAAGTTAATTTATTTCCTAAAATATTAGAAAACATGCCCTGTATATTGAACTAAAATGATATTCCATTCTGCTTGGAAATCAACACTTAAAACATCTGTGGTGCTTTAGCATTCTGCCAGAGTTTAATTTGTTTAATCTAACAGTTTGGGTTTCAATTGAGCTATATTTATTAGAATCTGGGCAAAGTAATATGTTACTGTTTTTTCCTACTTTTAGAAAATGCCAAAATTATAAGTTTAAAAATTGATACTGAAGCACATTTTCAATGATACTCTGATTAGGCTAACATTTTCCTGAAATGAGTCCTGAGTTACTGCTTACACTGAAGTTGCATTGCTAAGATTCCTCTTGCAGCACATTATTGAGAGATGGGTTTATAAATTCAACTCTATAATAATAATTTTAATTATAAATAAAATATAACTCTTAAATATTAATTATAGCCTAATAGGAATCTTTAAAGAGGTTATACACCAAAACAAAATTACAGCCATCTGAAATGACTAAGTTAATAATTTTAATAATTAATATTATTTTAATAATTTTATCCTGCTCCCCAAAATATGTTCCTCTCTGGATAAAAAATGGTGGTGGCTTTCAGCTGAGTGCTGGTACACATTTGACAAGTGACATTTCAGGCACTAAGCATCTTAGTGTGTAGTATTTGCCAGTTCTTGTGGTGTAAATATTCCCATGGTGGCAGATTTTCAGATACCAATACCAATATGGTGCTCCTGAATTTGGAGTCAGATGGAGATTCACAGTAGCATAATACTATATAGCACTTCAAAGATAAAGATACAATAGACCTAACTAAGCTCAAGCATATAGGTAAGTAGCAAAATTTAGTAAAATAATTAGCAAGTGGCAAGCTTCAATAATCACCTTCACTTTTTGGTAAAACGGATCCAATTGTATCTCATAATTTAATATTTAATTATGATTGTGTTTAGCAATCAGCTTACATAATTTCTGAAAATTTAATGATTGACTCTCATGAGCCAACAAAAGCCAGCTCCAGCAAAGCACAACAATGGGATCTTATCTCCTGGCATAATTTGACCCTTTAATAGGGAGAAATTTGATTTCCTTGGGACAAAAAAAAAGCACATTTTCTTTTCCTTTTCTACCATGAGCCTTATTTTATGCAAAATATTGCATTAAAGAGAGAAAAAATGGGAGAAGTATCCCCCATCAAATGGTAATTTTAGGGATTCACATTTTTTCAGAAGAGGTGTTAGAGATGTGTTGTGGTTTAATAAATGATTGGAGGCTAATGACATGGAATACTGCCCTAACAGAGAGGTGGTCATTTTAGTATAATTCATCACCTGGATCAGGTGCTTGCTGTGATCCATTGGATTATGGGACTTACCAAGCTCCATGCAACAAATGGAGTGTATAGATAAAACTCAAGGCAATATTCATGAGAAAAAAATTAGCCATATGAGAAGTGACATGAATGGGTATACCAAAGTGAGAGTCTGCTTCAATCAAATATTTCAAAAATTTGTGTTTAATTGTTTTGAGGAACATTTCCAGACTCTGGATTTTTGTCACTGGGACAACCATAATCAAGATTGTGCCTTTTTTTTCTCTAGGGCTCTATAAATGGACAATCCAGTATTGACATCTATTTTTAATAACAGTTGAAGGGGAACACATTTTTTAGCAAAATAACTGTGTTGTTTGTAAATGTGATTTTGGGGGCTCATTTTTGAGACAATATTATCCCCTCAAATAGACATGTTGTATAACTTTTAAATGAAAATATAGATAGAAAATCATGATGTTACTGTATGTGTTCAAGGGAGACTGAAAAACATGTTTTGTTTAACATTCAATTCAGAAAGCTTTCATAGTTAAGTAGTTTCCCAAGGATATTTGCACTACCTGGAAAGAAGCAGGAATGTTTCTGAAACAAGAATTTTTTTGGTGAAATCCACTTTTAGATGTACATATAAATATGTTTTTTTAAATCAGGATATGCTGATGATTATGCTAATGACAAATGAAAATTTATATGCATTAACATTACATCAAACTCTATCCTTTGCAATGTGTATGTTGGAATTTAATTTAAAAATCTATTAAATGACTTCTAAATATATAAAACTTTATGGCTGGCTTTCTAGTTAATAAATTTAAAAAAATATTTGAGTCAAGAGGTTTTATTTTAAAAAATATAAATAATTATTGCCTATAAACATCAATGGGCTGATACATATGTAAGGTCTCTTAGGACTCTGACTACCATTTTGATGTACTAAATGAAGCTTCAGAGCTATCCAAGGAGAACTCTGTCATCTGAACATCTTTATCTTAAATCCAAAGGGATGGGGGAAAAAAAAAGAACCATGAATCCTATCATTTTTAAATCCATTCAAACAATTCAAAGATCACATTTAATAATCACTGAAATAGAGAATGAGGTAGGACAGAGTCCCAGGATAATGTTATCCATAAATAGTATGCAGTAGGCAGAGTATCCAGAGTATGCAGCACATCTTCATTAAAATGCCTGTAAACCCTGTGGCAACTGCTTCAGTAACACCCTTTGGTCACCAGCTAAAATAATAAATTGACGATTTGAGTGTTAGAAGCCTCAAAAGTTATCTTATCCTTATAGCAATTTGAGAAATGCAATGTGGGACTGGAGATTTGTTTGAAATCTTAGTTTCAACTTGTACTCTGGCAAGGAGTTATCACATTAGCCATGGAAGGCTCCACATTATCACCAGCTGAATGTGGTCAGAGCTGAGAAGTGTCTATGTGATAAGACCCCAGAGATTCCAAAGAAGATCCCTGCTCTGGGTGGCATGCTCCACTGTCAAGAAAGGAAAAAAGTAATTCTTAAAATTTGGAGAAAATAAACTTCATTTGTTCAAGTTTTTGTACCATTGCAATGATAGATCCTAATTTCTATGTGAATTAACTAGCATAGCATTCTCTCTCAATTTTGTTGTATATTTAGCATAGAAATTTGGAGAAGGAACAAGCCATAGGCTAGGAAGTTAAGAATAATACTATTGGTAAGAAGAGACTGTAATTATGATTCTGTAATTCTCTAGTTAATGGTTATTCTTAATTTACCAATTTTTCAAATATTGGTATTATAGAAGATAATTGATCTCTAAGGAAAGTTCTAATTTGGAATTCAGAAAACAAAAATTTCAAATTAAAAAATTTGAAATCAGATAAACAGAAAACTATTGTTAGTTTCTCATTAGTTATAGTTACACATGCCTTGAAGGTTTATCTGCCTACGTTAACCTATGCCAGAATGCACACTCCCACCAAGGTGGCTGCTAGAAAGCATCTCAAAGATATTTCTTGTGAAGTTCATGAACTTTACTACATAAAGTTCAACTGATGGGGATTTTCAGGTTGGGTATCAACAGGCTCTTTCAGTCCCTTGCAAGATTTTGCCTGTTATTAAGTTTTCTGTATCCCCACTGCTATGGCTGGGTCACCCAACACAAGCAGGAGTTTTGAAAAGATGCCACATTTTGGAAAGGTGTGTGTTCTGCCGTGCTAACACTGCTCATCCACCTGGTTAGAACAGGAGTCACATCTTGACTGGATGACAAAGGTCTTTACAAACACATCTGCACACCATTTTAGTAGTCAGGGTCATGAGTTAACTTTATCTGATTTCAATTTGCTAGAAAGATCTTTAATAACTCCCTAAGGGGACTCTAAGGTTGTCTGCAATCAGGGCTATGAAGTGGCATACTTGAACTGTCTCCCCCTTTACCTTCTCCTCTCTTCACTCTGGGTAGAGAACATCACTCTGAATCATCTCTGGTTGTATCCAAGCAAGCGCTTTTTTCTAAGACACTCTGCATTTAAATAATCCATGAATGAAATTTACACTTTTTGAATTAATATCCACCACTTTGTGAGGGTCAGCAACTAGAAATGGCAGTGTTATCTAGGAATTTTAGAATGGATTCTTTCAGAGTCATATGCTGATAGGTATTCAAGTAATTCCTAGATTTGGGCAAATATCCATGATCACTTCCCCCCACAAATTCATAACAATAATAATAATAATAATAATAAAAGATCAAGGTGGAGATCATCCAACTGAGCGTGTTTGTGTTGCTGTTTATTTACATGTTGGCACCCTTAGGTGTCAGCTTTTCCGTAAGTGCCCTCTGGAGGTCTGTAGTGCTTGGGGAAAGCCATCAGCTGCAGCATGTTGAAAGCATACTTCCTGCATTTGATGTTCTTCAGAACATTCTCTATGCGGCATCCTTCTCTGGTGAAAGGGGAAAAAGTACAACTTCATGAAACACAGAATAAATAAATATGCTTTATTTGTTCAATGCAGAGTTGCAGCAACAGTCCAAGTAAAAATAACAAAGATTCAACTCTACATTTTTTTTTTCTCACAAGTGATGATACATCTTACAAAATTAAATCCTAGGCCAGGCCCAATACCATTATTGCCTTCGGAAAGAGATGATTAAAGTCTCTTTGTTCTTAACAGACATTTAAGGTTTAATAAACTCTTTAAATATAATTCGCTCCACAATACAGCTTCACTTTCATTTCATAAATATATCTGTCTTTTTATAACTTTTCCACAAATTAATTTCTCAGTCTCTTCAAAACACATTAAAATCTATATGTAGCCCTAAGGATGCAGGTTCTAGGAATAAGGCATTTAATTTATTAAGTCTGGCCCTATAGATTTTTAAAGGAAAGTTTCATCTCTATTTTACTTCATTATTTTAACTGTGCAACGAAGAGAGAAAATGGCTTTCTGAACAGCCTGGTCCAAGTCTCAGCTTTGTAAGGGAAGAGTGGTTGTCCATGGACAGTACAAAAGTCACAGGTGCAGAAAAATGACGCATCAAGACACACAAGAGAGACCTTGTTGAAAAGAATAGAAAAGTACTCCGGAAGCCAAAGCAACCCAAACAGTAGTAACAAACAGATTGATTTAATTACAAAACATAAATAGCCATTCTCTCCATTAAGTTACTTGACAGAAAAGGTTAAGTGCAGCAAAAAATAAATAAATAAAGAAGACAGGTTAAAAAAACCAAACAGAAGTTCTATCAGCTGATGGCAACTATGTTATTAGCACAGTGGAAATCAAGTCTGTAACCTCCCACATCCCTGGGATTTATTTCCGGGTTTCAGTGTGTTGTGCAAATTCAATCTTCAATTCATAAATAAACTGAATGGGAAGAGGAAGAGGAGGTTCAGAACTTCAAGCTTTCAGGATTCTGTTCTTTGTCTTATTCCAAAGACAGTAATTTAAAAATTCTTCTTGAGATAGTTAACAGTGGGAAAACACTTTTTTTTTTTAATGAACAAAAGAGCAAAATAATTCACTAATGCATAGTACTTTCTGGTTTTCTTTTTTTTTTAGATTTTAGGAAAAATGAACAGGAACACAATTCAAACATTTTTTTTTAAATTCTATGAATCTGAAAATGTAGAAATATTACAGCATTGTCCCCATAATTTAAAGTCCATTGTCATTTGTAGAAAAACAAAAATGGAATACAACATAGAACTTATTGGTATTTGGCTAAGAGTAATGCAAGACTTAAAATGAGCCACACAACTAGCAGGTGTGAGCTGACTAGCAGCAAGGCGACAGGGTAGAAGTGTCGAGAAGTTGGCTTGTTGTCACTTAGACAGCCTGTTTCAGGATCATCGGAGTCATTCAGTGCTCCCTGGGTTTGTCTGCTGTTAAACAGGGAGGAGTTAGGGGAGAAAAGAAAACAGTATAGAATCTGCACAGTAAAGAAATTCAACCTTAAGTACTTTACAACACAATACACCATCCTGTGTTCTATTACAGCTGTCTCAGATGAGTTTTTATGCTAAATAGCTCCAATGCCTCTGTATGTTCTCTCACCGGACTGCATTGGCAGAGATATTCAAAAAAGGAGAAATACTCTTACTTTTTGCAAAAGGAGGAATTACCGTGAAGACATTCACGGAGGTGGTGTCGGTATGTGCAAGATAGAGTCCAGTACACATAATAGCACCAGCAGACAAGATTGCATGAATAAAACTAAAATATGGATGTGCTCATAAAAAAATCTGATAAATAGATCTTTGGGAAATGAAATAAGGATGAAATGAAGCACACGATGTAGTGAAACAAATGGATGTGTCTGGCACATTTAAACACGCCCTCTCCTGATAGTGTACCTATGTAACATAAAATTGTAAAAATGATTTATTGAAATGGTTTTGTCTTTAAAATGAATGAAACATCTGACATGTCATCCTTGCCAGCCATGATATTAGTTTAGCAAAGCCCAACTCAGCACCCTTCTGTTGGTTCAGCCTGTAAATTATATTGTCTCCTGCTAATCTCTCTTAGAGACAAACCTAGCTCCTATGGACTCCTGATGTAAAAAGAGATCCATATTTGCAGAGGCACACTTCAGAAAATAAAATATTCAGATTCGAAGAATGTGTATTTCCTGCATAATTTTTTTTAAATGGGCTTTTCCAATTCTGCCCAGAAGCAGCTCCAGTTGTGACAAGTCTGAAATAAACACATTGAAAATAAAACTGATTTCTCTGGTATATTTCATCAATATTCAGAGTATTCTGAATTTCAATTACATTCAGTGATCAAGTGGTAGTTTAATCTCCATTGTCTCCTCCACATTTTGAGGCAGAACATTGGTTGAGTCTTATAATGGTGCCAAGCAAAGAAATCTTCTACACAAGCTCTTAGCAACGGCCACTTTTCAACCTTATGCAGCCCTTAAAAAGTTCCTACACAATAATTTTTGACCAGGTACTGACAATGTCAGGGACTACCTTTGGACAAACAGCCAGTGTTATTATTTCAAACAGCAATTTGAATAAGTTTAAAACACCAAATCAACCATGCTGTGCTGAGATCTGGTGTTTCCTTGTTTGAGATTTAAGACTATGTAACCATTGATAAACTAGATTATCTGGAAAATAAATGGTTCACTGAGCAAATAGGGGTTTATTCATGTTGGAAATTGAGCCGTGTTCAGTTTTCTCTTGTATATTTGTTGGAAATTATGCAATAGATTTTAAAAGTATAAAATACCTTGTGATATGTTTCTTGGGTAATATTGTTTTATTGGTTTGAAATCCTTACATAACTGACTAATCCCAGATAAATCGTTTATTTATTAAACCATACTTCTCAGCTGTCTATGAGGAGCCAGGCACTGCTGTGGAGTTGGGTAATACATCGGTGGACAGATAAGATAGAAACTTCTGCCTGCAAGAAGTTTGCCTCTTGAGTTGGAGAAGAGGGAACCAACAGAAAAACAATAACATCTTGGCAAAAGCACAAGGGAGAAAAGTAAAGCTAGGAAGGAGAAATGTGTGTGTGTGTGTGTGTGTGTGTGTGTGTGAGAGAGAGAGAGAGAGAGAGAGAGAGAGAGAGAATTTTAAGCAGAGTGATTAGAGAACCTCTCACAATAAAATGACACTTAGAGGAAAGGGAGGGAGACATGCAGATATTGACATTCATTTTTATGTGACATAGTGCATTACCTAGTAGCTTCCTGACATAAGGGGACTGGCACCTTTAGGCTGGAGGACAAAGGAACATGAGGAGATCCCTGGAGGTCCTGTCTAGCCTGGCTGGATCTCAAACGAGATAGGGAGGAAAGTGGTCCCAACAACTGGTGGACAGACAAACTGGAGGAGAGCCTCCACAGTTATGGACTTCACTATCTCCACAGAATCTAACACAAAAAAGGACATTAAGGCTACTGAGGGCAGTGGTTTCAATTTCCTCTGTATTAATCCATCAACATGATCTACAAAGGGGGACACATGCATCACAGGGGTGGTTCTACACAACACACACCGGGAACAGAGGCCAAAAGTGTGAGAACTTTCACATCACCAATATGCACCTCATTCTTTAAAACTTTCTATTTTTCATATATTCCATAATTCATATGAATTGGTAGCATGGCACATGTCAAAGCAGCTATGATACAGTAGAATAGAGCATGACTTTGGAGTTAAACCACCTGCTCAGTTCCATTGTCACATGCTAGTTGAGTCACCTTGGGCCAGTCCTTCATTTTTTCATACTTCAATTTCCTTTTCTGGAAAGTGGTAGTAACAATATCTACCTCCCAGAACTGCTGTGAAGTAACACCATATGAGTCAACACTTTAAAGTTCTTAGAGTAGATAATGCATGTAACAAGCATTCAATAATAACAGTTCCTATTCTTATGTTATTTGTAGGTCAATAAATATACACATAGTAGTATAGCTAGAACCCTTTTAACTAGGAGGTATATGTAACCAAACAGGTCTGCAAGCCACTGATCTAGCCCTTGGGTGTGCTGAGGGATGGTGGTGGAGAAGCACGGGGTCAATGGCAGCTATTTGATTTTCTTGATCTTATTTATCAATACAATGCCTTTAATTTATGTGTATACCACCCCAGTGGCCATGTCTGAACAAACATTAGTCCCAATTATTTAAAACAAATCATATAGCAGTTCATATCAATTTCAAACATCAAACCCACCATGCTGTGTTCTGGTTGAAAAGAATATTTGAGAATGACTGGTTTATCTCATGCTTGAACAATTCTGAGAATGAAGGAAAAGTACTTAAAAGTTTGTTTCACCCACATGCAGCTGTGGATGGGGTTCAGCCCCAGAATGAATGTGCAGGCCTGTGTGTGGGGAGGGTAGAGAAGAACTAGGATCAAAGGCCAGGGAAGGCCGAGGTGACCAACGATGTCTCAAGTTTACCTGGAATCTTCACATGTACAAGGTAAAAAGAGAAACTCTGTTTTTAAATTCCAGCTATGGCAACTACTAGCTGCATGAACTTTAGCACAGAATCTTTTTCCATTGCAATTTCTTCATACACACAGGAACTATAGAGTTCTTGAAAGAATTAAATGAGATGACACATGAAAAAACACTTAGCACAGTACCAGGCATAAAATACAGCCTGAATAAATGTTAGCTATTAATATTAAGTGTAAAAATTTTCATCATTATCATCCTTGTTACCATTTCATCTTGATCTGTCCAGTTTTAAAGTAAGATTATCTACAGCAAAACTTAAAAATTTTACACTTTGGTTCTCTTCAATGATCCCTATAGTATCCATCCATCCATCCATCCATCCATCCATCCATCCATCCATCCATCATAGTATACATATTGCATGCTGATGGTAAACTTAGATTAGAATAATAGCCACAGTTTGTCAACCTATAGTCAAAAATACTCTTTCCCAGTGAGATAGGCCCTGGCTG